GTGAGGCGCTCTAGAGCTTGCCTTTCCCCGCTTCTCCTGGGAGCACTTGGCTCGCCCCCCATTCCCCAGCCCTGGCGCCATCTGTGGCTCAGGACGTGGACGGCCACAGAGCCACACGCAGCTCAGTGGTGACGGGCGGCGCCCAGGGGCCGACTTGTCCACAGGGAGCGAGAACCACCAGAAACAGGGGCTCGGGCACCCCGACAGCCTGCTCGTGTGGTCCTGGGCCCGCCCAACTCCTCCTCAGTGTCCTACTATAAAATTAAGGGACGATCCATAATAATAATAACACTGCTTCCTCCCTCCCTCACAGGGCCACCGGGACGGGGGCATGACACAACGAGGAAGAAAAGGCCTCGCACGGGGCCTGGCACACAGGGCACCTGGCTCCGTGACATCTTCATCTCCATGAGATGGAGCCAAGAACCTGCCAATTCTAAAAATAAAAACGGTTCCTCTGAGAGCTGGTATGTGCTATGCAGTTTTCAGCACCCTGCATACACGTGTGAGTGCGTGCACACACACACACACGCACACACGCACGCACACACGCACCCACACACGCACACACACACGCACACACGCACGCACACACGCACCCACACACGCACACACACACGCACACACGCACACACACACACACGCTCGCTTAGCCTTTGCAACAACTCTGAGGTCAGGTAACAAAATTAACCTTATCCTACGGAAGAGGGAACAGTGGGCAGGAGCTGAGCTTTGAAGAACAATTCAAACCCAGGCCTCCTCGCCACCGGCCCCCAGGCCATTCGCCAGTCCTCCTCAAGCCCTAACTGCATGGCAAGGCCAGCTGGACCGGTCCCCACCAGCGGGAATCTGCGCCAGCCTCGCTGGCAGATGTCAGCGGGCCTTTTCCCAAACTCCGTGGGCCACGGAAGTAACAGGAGTTGAAGGGTCAGGCGGGGAAGCTGTCTGGGAGGCACAGGGCCCGCAGGGAGCTGCCGCGAAGGCCCCGAGGACCTACTCACCCTCCACCAGCAGGTGCACGGTCCCGGCCCAGCGGCCATCCTGGTAGCACAAATAGTTCCCAGAGCTATTGAGCTGCACGGACCTCAGGAGCAGTGTCCTCCCCATGCCGGCCCAGCGGCTGTGGTGGGAGCCTGCGCCCCGACTCCTGAGCACCCAGTGGAAGGTGGCGTTGTCCCTCGGGTCCCATCCCGGGCAGGTCAGGTTAACACTGGCCCCGGGCCTGCTGGTCAGCACGTCGTTTTCCACCTCTGGGGAGACAGAAGACACTTGGTTGGCCCACAACCGACCGAGGAGGGGACTTCGTTTCTGAAGCGGGGCAGCCACCAGAGGCTTCAGTACCAAACACCCCGACTACAGCAACGGCTTGTGGGGGGGCGTCTCTGGGGAACCCCACCCCAGGCCCGCCCTCTCCAGCCGGCCACCCTACTCCTTAATCAGAAGGCCCTGCGAGGGCCTATCACTGTCCACGGCGTGGAGTCCAAGATTAAAGGAACAAGTAAACTTTTTTTTCTTTAGGTTATAGATTCGTGGGCTCTGAGGTATAAATTAGTCCGAGCCTCTCGGACTGATTTATTAACCAGTCAAGCGGCCGAGGGCCCCGAGGCCAGAGAACACGGCCGGGTCCACGTTACGTCCACCTGGTCCTTCAGACCAGATGTCCCACCACTTAACGCACAGCAATAAATCTGGCCTGGCAGGCGAGTCCTAGTGTCTCTCCAACCTGCAAAGCGTTCTTGCTTGGGCGGACAGTTGTTTTTTGTGTGTTTTTTTGTTTTGTTTTGTTTTGTTTTGTTTTTGTTTTTCCTAATTTTGTAATTTTTCACTTACACTTGATGCACAATATTAATGTCAGGTGTACAACATAATGATGAGACATGAAGATAACTTATGAAGTCATCGCCCCAATAAATCTAGTACCCAGCTGGCACCGTACACAGCTCTACAGTATCACCGACTGTGTCCCCTACACTGTACTTTACATCCCTGTGACTACTCTGTCACTGCCAGTTTGTACTTCCTAAGCCCTTCCCCGCCTCCCCCATCTGACAACCACCAGAATGTTCTCCGTGTCTATGACTTCGTTTCTGTTTTGATTGTTGTTTATTTTGTTTTCTAGAGTCCGCACGTATGTGAAATCATATAGTATTTGTCCTTTTTCTGTCTGACTTATTTCACTCAGCACAATACCCTCTAGGTCCGTCCACGTGGTTGTAGGTGGCGAGATTTCATTCTTTTTTATGGCCGAGTCACGTTCCATGGTTTATATATATACAAACCACTTCTTCATCCATTCATCCTTCGATGGACACCCAGGTTGCTTTTAAGTCTTTACTGTTGTAAGTAATGCTGCAGTGACCAAAGCTAGGGGCTGGGGGTGCAACGCCGGTCACAGCCCGGGGGCCAGGGACACGGGCATCAGAGGGACAGAGGCGGCTTCTGCCGGGCATCGGGCGCTGCCTGGCTACACAGACCACCCTTGCACTTCGTTCTCACTCTGCCGCCTGGCGTGGCAGCCCTCTTCCTGGCAGCGCCCACCGAGGCTGCGGGGAAGGGACCACGCGAGGCCAGAGTGGCGGCCGGTCATCTGTGCAGTTTTCCCTTCGCCGCCAGAACCCTGGAGTGTGTGCGAAAGCGGCTGAACCCCACCGTGCAGTGGCGAGTCTGGGCGGGTTCCTCAGACCTCACTGTCCCGCACCGTGTCCCACACTCACCTCCCTCCGGACACTGGAGGCAGACAGACCCTGCCCTCAGGCCAAGAAACAGAGCCGCATTCACTGCCACAGGACACAGGCTCCCTGATCATCGCAAAACCCCTGTGCCCAGAAGCTGGAGGCCGCTGAGGCTACTTCCGCGCCCAGAGGGCTTAAAAGGGCCATAAACAGCCCTGATCGCAGCTTGCCTTGCTACCCACCCCCATTACTGAGATTCGACACACGGCACGGTGTCAGTAAAGAGTGTACAGCGTGATGACCTGACTTAACACATATTGCGAAATGATGAGCACTATAAATTTAGTTACCCACCAAAAAAGAGAGAAAAAATGCGTTTTTCAGCTTGTGATGACGGCTCAGGATCTACGCCTAATGGCTTTCTGACGGACCCTGCAGCAGCTAACCGAGGCCATCGCCCTGGAGGCCGTGACCTCGGTTCCGACCCGTCTTACAATGGGCACCCACTTCACCCCCCACGCACGGCCCTGGGACCACGAAGCTGACCTCTCACGGGTATTTTTGTTTTGTTTTGTTAGATTCTACATATAAGTGAAATCGTACAGTATTTATCTTTCTCTGATTTATTTCACTTAGCTTAACGCCCTCAAGGTCCATCCATGTTGTCGCAAATGGCAGGATTTCCTTCTTTTTAATGGCTGAGTAATATTCCGCTGTATGGACGGAAAAAAGGGCTGCAGACTGAACCTGACGAGCTCAGGGGGAGGCCGGCCCGGCGGGCCCTACAAACTCTGCGACCGAGAGTAACCACACGGGCGGCCTGAACACGAAAATTCCTAACCTACTGTGAGTCACGATGGGTGGTCCCGTCCTAGGCCTGTGGCCTCCTTGACGAAGGTCAGCCTTTACCTGAAGTGTCTGCCTACCAGTCTTTTTGCATCTAAGATAACAGACCTTCCGAAGGTCAGAGTCGGCTCCTCCTCCAGACCCTTCAGGGTACCACCTCCCACCTGAGCACAGAGCCCCTCACTGTCCTCCGGTCCCCGGGACCATCTAGGTGTGAACGTCACCTGGCCTGCACCCACAGGTGTAGGAGAAGTGTGTGTCCCTCCGTTTTGCTTTTCATCCCATCCCAGAGACCCCCCCCCCGGCTTTCCCTCACCCCCTTAATGCACCACCAAAGGGTTTCACGTGACCCGCTCCGTCTCCTCCTCTGATGCTAACATATAAAATAAGGTCAAAGGGCCGTTGTCCGGAGCGTTTTCTCAACATCGAGATTTCCCTTCCTGGCAATTGTTGTCAGTTTGGCTCCTAAACATAAAAATTCCGTACAGGTTTGGCTGTTTCTTACATAGACAACTGTCTTGTCTATCTTAGATAATACAGCACACGTTTGCCTGCACACATTAAATAATAATATATTTCCGGCACTTCATATTTTGTTTGTAAATGTATTATGTAATATTTCACACCTGCGAATTCATGTGTCATGTACACGGAACTTGTGAAGCAGAAAACACCCCAGGCTCCTACCAATCATTGTCTCTGAAACGCCCCTCTGCTTCCGTGCCCTCCAGCCTCCCTCCGAGACAGTGCTCTGTCTTGGGGTGATCACGCCCTTACTTTTAAAAATAGATTTGCTACTTGTGGATCCCCAGATTTCTCTCCGTTTTGCTTGATTTCTAAGCTCCGTGTAAGTGGTCTGTATGTAGCCTTCCTTGTCACATTTTTACATTTCTCGCGTTTCTACGATTTATCTAAGTGTAGCTATACTTCCTTCATTTTTGCTGCTGTGTAATACCCCATTGTGCAATTACTGTAGATCATCCCCCACTGAGGGAGATTTGGGCCATTTCCAGTGTTTTGCTAAAACCGAAAGGCGTGGCTACCGACCTTCTCGCACTTGGCTTCGGTGCCTTTGCCCGAGAGAGTCCCCCTGAGTGGATTTGCTTGTCCCAGTGCGCGCACGTGTCCTAGTGTGCGCGCGTGTGCCACACCTGTCTGCTTCCTCCGTCACTGGACACACACTGAACTACGGCTCGCCACAACCAGGCCACACAGTGCCATCTGCGCCCGAATGCGGTCGAGTTTAAATGACCCACTGACGCTTCTAATCACCACATCGACATTTTCACGTTTCCACTTCCCACTCGATAAAGCGACTGTAAGGATAAAACGCAGCAGGGACATCCGGCTCATGCACAGATCACCACGCCTGTAGGGACAAAGACGGAGACACAGCCGACGCAGGACGGCGTGCGGGCGGGCGGGTGGCCTCCCCGCACAGAGCTCACGGCAGACAGCCCTCCACCGGCCGGGGGCGGAAATCAGAATCGTGGGCAGTCGAGGAGCGCCGAGACACCGGGCACATGTGGCAGCCTGCATCGGAGTCCAAGGAGGCGTCAAGGACCACACATGGCTCGTCCCCTCGCTGACGCTTTTCACACGGCACCGTCCTCGACTGCACACAGCTCCCCGTCCCCGGCCGTGACGACAAGGCTCTGAGCACTCATCGGAGTT